GTGGTGACCAGGTGATTTGGGCACCCAGGAGCACGTGACTGCTTGTTCAACCATGTTCGATTGGGAATATAGGAGGAACGCTGCATCGCAGCCTTTTCGGACCAAAACCAGTCGACTCCGCGGCGTCCAAAAGACTACAAGATATGGGCCAATCGCGGTCATCCGTGCTTTTATAAGAACGAAATGGCGCTTTTAGTGACATTTTGCATACAAATCCCCATTTAGTAGGGCGCAGTCACCCAGTTTCGGTGGAAGTGCGCGAGTTCGATTGGGATTCAAGTAGGAAGGGAGCGTCTCAGCTTTCTCGGACCAAGACCATTCGACTCAGCACCCCGAAGACTACAACTGGTGAAATTTTAATTTTTGCCTAAACTTCCCCTTCAAGCTCAACTGATGAGGGGTGAATTCCCCGCAACACTGTATATTGAGCAGGGGGTGGTACTTTCTTGCAGGTTTGCAGAGTGGACGGTTCGATGGACTTCTCGTGTGCTCTTGATGGTAGTCGTGAGTCAGTCAAGTGAGAATTCAAGTCGGCAGGAAAACCGCGAGCTCCCATGTAGGGAGCAACACACTCTTCCCCTACTATCGCCGAAGTCGCACCAACCTCTTCTTCACAATCTTCGAGGAGACAAACGTAGTAGTAGTAGTAGTAGAATTTATTATTTTGATAGGGAAGGCCCTACAGACGTTGCCGTCTCCACGTTTTACATTACCATGCAAGTAAACTTTAGTAAAGGCATCTAGAGGCTAAAAAAAGTGTATCCCTGTAATTCCAGAATCGATGTTCTGTTCCGGTCATCAGTGGAAAAGGCTAGTAGTAGTATGTAGTAGTAGTAGTACTGTAGTAGTAAGCGAGGTGGTGACTGCACATGACAATGATAACGCCACACACAGAAGCCCTACATGCATTATGCTTTTGGAAATTTTATTTTTCATTGCTACCAGGTTCGCCCTCATTTTCTCTGTGCTGCGCTGATGAGTCCACAAAGGACGAAACAGTTCTGTCCGCAGATTGAGCCTTACAATCGCTATATCTGGGGCTAGGACCCCTAAACATTGAGTGCGTTCGATTACACACTTGAATCGATTCATGAATCCATTCGCATGCATTCAAGTCGTTCGATTTCATGTCATGAGCCCTGGAATCGATTCGGAATCCATTCCCTCTATTCACATGGGGTGATGTGAATAGCGCGAATCGATTCATGAATCGATTCGCGAATCGATTCGCGCGTGTAATCGAACGCACTCACTGGGTTTGATCAGTTCTGGTACACAATCCACACGGTTCAATTCGTTTTTTGGTGTTCTCACTGCACTCGTGTGAGCAGCAGCGCTCCTAGTCCTAATCCTATGAATTTCGACCTGCCGATCAGCTGACTCGGAAATGGCAATGGCGGAGCGGCAGCTGCAACAGCCGCTGGAGACAATACGTTCGGTCCTCAACGCTGCTGATCCCAGTGCTGGAACATCGACATTGTCACCCCTGTGTGAGTCGAAACAAGTCGCCAGGAATATTTTTATCGCCAGACGTCGTTCATCTCAACTGACTCAAGTTGTTCCTCCATTGTGAGAAACAAACCCTAGATATAGGGTCACGAAATTCCACCACAGCGATGCACTAAAACTGGTCGCACTCAAAGAAGACATAAAACTGTTAACAGCAAAAGGCAAACGGTTTTTGCAGGACCTTCCCATGTACCTACTACTGTGACAGTACATCAGGCACATGTTGTTGGTTTGACAGCATGTGACAAGGTGGACCCAGGTCCCAGGAGGACCACCGTGTTCGGAACCAGTGACCTTTCTACAACCATCCACGGTTGTATTTTTATAGACTTCTCCTAACTGTGATCGCTCCTAGCCTGGATATCTTCTTGATCGTCATAAAAGGTCACTGTTTCCGAACACGTGTCTTCCACCTTGTTACATGCTGTCAAACCAACAACATGTTTGAACAAAAACAAGGTTCATCAGGCACATGTACAGGCTTCTAATAGACCAATCCCGAAAAGATTGTCTGGGTTCGAAAGGGGGCATGTCAACTGAGAGTACACTGTACAACACATACATGCACTACCTGATCAGCATGCGGCACAGGACGTGTTTGATAGTTTGCGTGTGAATGCGAGGGTAAGTACACGGTTTTCTCGTTAGTTGCATGCAAGAGAGACGATGCGACAGAAAGCAAAGCCCTTTGTAGTTTTCTCTCTCGCACTGGTAATGGTCTGCTTTTGGAGTTGAAATGCTAAGACATAATCCTTGTTTCGCTCTTCTGTGTAGTGTGAAGAGGTCAACGAACATGTAGAGCTCACTTTGATGAAGAAGGCAGGCTGTGAGCGCTGCGGCTCAAAGCGATAGGTCCTACATCTTACGAGATATTTCGAGTGCTATTGTTTGTTGCGAGCGCTTCGTCTTCGATGAGTCCTGCCTCTTTCCTGGCAGCTGCCCTCCTATAAGACCAACCACGAAGTGACTGTACTCATCTGCAGCCGATCAATGTTATATTGCACAAGAAGATAGCGTTTTCGCCAAGCCAGTGCCCCGCCAAAGACCATAGCCGTGTCACACCGTCGGAACGAGTTCATGATGAGAAACATCATTCGCGCGAGCGCGATGAAGAACTATTTCGAAAGACAACATAGTCTTTACCCCCGGGACGACAACTATGCGCACGTCCTGCAAGGGGAGAATGTCACCAGCGACATCAACGAAGACGACGGCAGTACTTCGAAACCTGGAGTCAGCGGACGTCGTCAAGCTCCTCCGCGACCCGGTACATGTACAATAGGTGACATGTCGACACGAGCTTGCGGAAACACGGTATACACTGTAGTAATGTTGCGAGAGTTTGCGGAAGGAGTCCAAGTCGGGAAATCCATCAGCTCCAAAAGCTACCTGTAGGTGGGCGATGAGACTCCAGCTTCAGACTACAACAGTCAGGACTTGTAAATAGTTGAACTTTGTGAAGCAGCAGATCGAGAAGTTAGCTGAAATGGTAGCTGTTGCAGTATGTCGGCGCTATGTAGCTTGCATTTTTTTACGGAGAGTCAATCGCCACGCGAATGTTTCTCTCCTCACCGAGAGCTAGCTGGCCTCCAAACTCCGTCAGGGTCTGCCTAAGGTACCGAAGGTCCTTTGACTAGCTGCTGGAAGGACTCCATCAAATCCTTTAGCTTCAGCTCGGCGAGCAAAAGTCTCTCTCTCCGCCGCCATGAGCCGACACACACAAACTGAATACAAAACGATGCATTTCACACGTGCTGGCTTGCACGCGTGCCCCCTTTCACGAACCCAGACAATCTTTTCGGGATTGGTCTATTGTCATAGCAGTCAAGTGGGCCCTCAAGTGAGCTCAAGCTAGAACGCCTGGGTGCAAAACCCTATACAGTCGTCCCTCTCTAATCCGGCACCTTTTTCAACGGCTTTTTCTGCTGGATAAACAAGGGTGCTGGATTATCAAATCCTGCCCTCCAACCCGGCCCACCTGTTAAACATACAATCATGTTGGTGTTGTACGTCGAAATGTAGGGATTTTCTGTGTCAATCCAAGTACTTTGTGGAATGCATGTCTTTAACATACACTTGGGAATATCCTGTGCACTGGGATAGGATATTCCCAAGTGTATGTTACATGTGTTGTGTATGTTACAATGCTCCCTGATGGTATGCGATGTACAACTGCTGGATTAGAAAATCAAATTATGTACAGTTTGAGTGATTTGTTGCAGAAAATCGCTGCTGGAGGCGGAATTCAAGTGCCGTATTAAAGCGTAGAAAATGAACTGAAAAAATCCGTTTTGCCAGAAAGTGTGCTGGTTTGCAAGGGTGCTGGATAAAAAAGTGCCGGATTAGAGAGGGACGACTGTATACAGGGTTCGACAGGCTAAGAGCTATTTCCGGCCAATTCTAAAGACAGTCAGTTTGTCTGGTTGAAAACTTTGTCTACAGAAGCTGAAATGTACCAAAATGACGAAATAATGGTGAGTATTTCAGCTTGAACGAGTAAGTGCGCAGCCACTGATGAGGACGGGAGAGTAGATGAAGGAGTCTTTTACCATGCTATTCTACATGATTACAAGTACATTGTAGTAACAAGATACACTACATCCGAGGGCAATACGTATGTGCCGTGACTGCACATTGAACCAGCAAGGGACAAGTACACGTAGCAGGGCTCTGGAGACTTCATGCAGTGCTACCACTTCCTGTCAGCAGGGCAAAGTGAAGAAAGTCTATGAATCATACGAAATAGTACATAGCCCACACTGGAATGTATTCTTGCTGACATGCTATACCGACATGTTATCATTGTGAACCCAGCATAATAGCTAATAGTGCACTCAACTATGCCACCAAATACAGAAAGAAGATAAAAACCTCCCGGGACACGTGACAACGGGTCGTGTGCATTGTGTGCGCTGGTTAAAAATTTAAAAAAAGAGCTCAGAAATCCTCCACCTAGGACCTGGCTGTGTCAGAGTCAGAGAGGGCATGGATCATAGCGAATACACATCTAGTCTAGCACATGTCAGACAGGCCTCGTCTGCACTTGTCTGCATGGAGTGTGAGGCGGTCACAGCAAGTGTATCACTTCATGATGCCTTGGTGGCATACTGAGGACAAACAACTGCCACGGGCCTGCTACACGTTCGACTGAGCTGCATCGCATCAGAGCCGCAGCAAATGATGACCAAATCGTTGCAGAGCTCAGCCGGGGTTGCCCTTGCCTGGGGCAAATTGGGGCCCCCAGGGGAAAACCCGCTCCATGAGCAAGTTTCTCTGAATTGATCTGCGTTTGATAAAACAAACAAACTGCAGGAGTTCCGCTTGATACCGATATTTCAGCGCGGCCACAACTTCCGACGCATGCGAGTGAGTCATTAGATAGATTTCCTTGCTTCCATCGCAATGAGCTGAAAACACAGCGTACAACACTGCCATTCACTTATCCAGAGCCAGTGCAAGCGCTAACTGCTCCTGCTAACACATACACCAGATCATGTGCCCTTTGTTGATGCAGCCTCTACCAAGTCAATGTATGCCGACGAGATGAGCTGCGATTTCTGGATGCCAAGCCGCTCCATGAGCTCGCCAGCAATTGTTTCGCCTTCATCCGTTCCCTGGTGCTCGGTCAGCACCACTTCCAGCTCCATGAACCAGCCCAGACTGGTCACGTGGTCTAGATGCACTCTGGTTTGTCCGACTAGCCATAGCTTGCGTTGTTTTTCCACTGTGCCACGCGCACCCATGGCCGAGGACAGCATAGTGCACAGAGTTGGGGCCTCTGGCAGTGCCACACGATGGATGTTGAATGTTGATAGCTTGGGACCTGCTTGGTCGGAGCGTTCGTAGTAAATCAATTCAGCATGTGACTCCAGTTGGCGCAGCTTCAGTCGACCGTTGGCACTTTGGAAGAATGTGTCGATCTGTTTCAGGATTGTTGCTTTTTCGCCAGTAATCTGGCAGCAGATTTCCTCCACAGTTTTCGCATTTTCTGCATCCAAGCGAGCTTTGATCTCCACATTCCGCATTTTGGATTATCTGCACGAGAGTCTACTACAAAGTTCCAGGTACGTAGGTTCTACGTTTATTATGCACACGCAAGACGGACTTGTAGAGTTAGTAGTATTGAAAGAAGAAGCCCATACCAGCTTTTATTTGAGCCTGTCTGGAAATGTTCGCCTTCACCATGCATGCGCGCATGCATATGTAGCATGCACAGCAACAAATTAATTATTTACTTTTTTTTTTTTTAACTTTTGAATTATTTCGGCGCCGGCGTGGCGCCATGGCCACGTGCATGAACATGATATTAAATATTTTAAAGAGTTTTTTCAGTGGAATTGTCAGGGCGATAATGACGTCAGATCAGATCGACCATCTCGACGTAGCTATTCCAAACTCTTCGAAACTAATCCACCTCTCCCATCGGATGAGGTTGTGGAGTTTCGAGGAGCCAAGTTCGTTTTTTTTCTGAAGAGGCCGATAAGGCCACCTCTTCAGAAAAACGAAACTTCTCGAAAAGTCAAAGAGTGACGATTCGAACGCGCCGCTTAGTGCACCCCGGCCCTCTCCCCTGACTCACTTGAGAGGTCTGCATTCGCCACAAGGTGAACAGGCATAGTGGTGACCTGCAGATGCGAAGGCTAGTTTGTGTGTTTTCGCTGAACATTCAAGCGATGCCGACGCAGATCCTGCGAATATGATTATTATTACTTACCAGTATGCCCGGCTATGGTGTTGATAGCATCAAGACTAAAGCACAAACGGCCCGACGATGTTATGGCTTTGCCGGCACATAATGATGTAGATCCACATGAGAAGTCGTTAGTAAACCGTGGTAAGCGGCATTACACGTAGACCGGAATACAGACCGTGCTCATGTCTTGATGCTATCACTGAGATTGTATGACCCATTTCACTGCTCTTCAGTGTAGAAAGCCAAACTCAGTGATCGTGTCGCGATGATGCCGGGCACATAGGGTTTCTGATTCTCAGCCTGTGACAGGACCGGCGAAAACAGTTTTGCCAGATCATAGCAAGTCTGGCCATACCATCATAGTCTTGGCAAAACGTGACACAAGGGCCGATATGGCAGGTACACTGAAATAACTGAAGTAACTGCCTCAGCAGTAAACACAGTCATGTCGGTGGCTAAACAGTTGGTCCGTCCATTACAAACCAGAACAGCCTCACCACCCCTAGCCCTACACTCATGGTCATGACTCGTCACTGAACCGACCACTCCACCAATCCAATCACCTTTGCTCGGCCCGGTCCGGCCCGAAATTTTCTTCATAAATTCAAGTCGCATACTGTGGATGGACAGTTTCACAAATCAAACAACCTCCGAAATCAGACCACTTTGCCCGCCAGCTCCAGAAGACGGTCGGAATTCTAATTCTCCACCCAACATGTAGTTTTTTAAAATTTACTTTTACTACTGTAATACTGGACAATTTCAATGGAGATATATTTTCGGTAACTTGGGTACAGGTAATTTTTACCTGAAATGAACACGACCTAAAAATTTACAATGCCATGCCACACAGTGTGCAAATGCAGTTTTGGGTCTGGAAAACTGGTTAACCGAAATGTTTGCGCTACCAAATCGTTGATTTTGGGAAATACCGAACATCATGTATTACGCCACTGAAAATTCCCGATTTTTACAGTATGAACACAGCCCTGACTAAGAAACATGTGGATAACAACATGAATGAAGACAACGGGAATATGAAGGACCCGGACGACGTGCTGAAGTACTGGGAGCAACGCAACCAACTAGAGCTTTGGCGTTAGTGTTGCAATCAGGCATAGAACCCCAGGTACAGTTAAATATTGCGACAAAGCTTTCGGCCGTACTCAAATTTACCGTCTACATTCAACCCGTCACCACCACGCGCTCTCAGCCAAACCAATGCCAAAGCATAAACACACCAGCACAGCAAGGACACTTCCGTTGATAGATAATTGTTACGCCTCTAGACAGCTGTTTTGCTCCTTCGAGCTCATCAGTAGAGCCAATATTCTATGTGGAAAACGCGCACTAGCGTCATTTCTGCTGTATATCATTCCTTTACACTCCATTATCATCATTATCGTCCTCTACTGATGAGCTCGAAGGACCGAAACAGCTGTCTAGAGGCGCAACAATTATCTATCAACGGAAGTGTCCTTGCTGCGCTGGTGCGTTTATGCTTCGGCATTGGTTTGGCTGAGAGCGAGTGGTGGTGACGGGTTACATGTAGTAGACAACTGTACAACAAGGTAGGGACCGGCGGATTCTGCTCGAAAAGGTGGCAGATTCTGCTTGAAAAGCAGTAAAATTGGCAGAGCCATACAAACCTTATGGCGGGCAATTCCTCGAATACTGCTCCATTTCTTTATCCACACACCAAACATGCACGAAACTTGCCAGAAAAAGTACCGAATTCTGCCAATTTTTCTGCCAGCAGAATCCGCTGGACCCTACAACAAGGTCACTACCGGTATTGCCACACAGAACAACGCTGTAGTGACTTACAGCCTCGGGTTGAAAAGTCTAAAGGACGCAAGTTTTCGGGAAAGTATTGCAGACGAATAATAAGGCTGCGTACAGTCGGGGCCAAGAGTCCGACGCATTATCCGGGTCACACCACGACGCCACAGATCCCTCCTATCAAGAGTGCATATTGATACCCCCCTTGGGAGGGGGCACACCACGACGCCACAGATCCCTCCTATCAAGAGTGCATATTGATACCCCCCCCCCCTTGGGAGGGGGTACGGGTATGTACTCTTGCTCTTATACGGCAGTAAAGCCCAACTCGCAATCTGCATGTGACCAGGCGGCAGGGCTCTAGCCAGGTCAAAATAGTAGGGGGGGGCATGGGAAACAGTTACCCCATATCCCATTTTTCTACTTCCCACTAGTATTGTCTTGCCACGCTAAATGCAATGAGTTACGTATGCGGCGATCGCGCGAATCTCCGACTTTTTTTATTTTTTTATTTTTTAATGCAATAACATGTTATTTATAAAGACAGGACAAGTGAATAATTAGTCAGTCCATTGTTCATGATGATCTCCGACGGTTACGTCGGCAAGCGAGCCTCCGCCACTGCCAAAGCAGCGTGGGCTCCGCAGGAGGGTGCAAATTTCAAACCAAAATTTAAACGCCTACAACCGCGAATGCACATGATACAGGATTTCAGAAGGCTGAAGGAAATCCTGCATCTAACAAATGCCATAACATGAGAGTAATGCTCACCCCTCTTCTCCGCCAACAGATGAGCAATTCGTTTGTACAGTGCTGTTGATGCTGGACCCATTCGGCCACTGGCTGACATGACCGCCGGAACAAAGGAGGCTTGCTCAACCTGCCTCACCCGCTCCTCATAGTGCCTTCTCTTTTCTTTTTCATGTCGCTGATACACAATAGTATGTGGTGCAGATCGATTTGAGCGTGAGTGAGGATTAAAAACCCGTATATCAATAAGTGTACGCTCAAAACGACTGCCCCACAAACCATTGGCAGCGACATCCAACCGGGCACGGTCTTCCACATTTGCGGTCCGGTAGCGAAGACGCTCCCCCGTCAGCGGTTGCAGCAAGGGCTCGATGGACACACTGGTGCACACCTCGTCCAGCAGCCGGGCCGTGACGTCCCGAATACCATTGTGTCTAATGGAGGGAAACCCTCCATAGGGGCACGACAGAGAATGCGCGACAGTTGCCTCTTGGCCGCAAGAGCAGTGTGACGGCACCCTGGCCGGTGTCCATCCGTAACGGAGGCAGAGTCCGTCCCAAAACTCTCCCTTTGTTAAATTAAAATGATATTTCTTAAGTGGACGGCACGTCAGCCAGCTTGACGACCCTTTCTCCTTCGCGACGTCTATGACATGTCGTAGCGACTCCGACGCACTGCCCGATATCGCGTCGAATTCCAGTTTCTGATGACGTCGAGAAGATGCCTTGGCGTCTCTCTTGGCCGATCTGATTAACACTACCGAGTCACCGATGGAGCCATCCCCTGACAAGATTCTCCGAGACAAAGGGTTGGTCATCCGAACCGACGAGTCGTATTGTTGGCATAGGGACACAGGGTTAATCAAACCGAGCCCACCCAGACGACACGGCAAAGCCATAAGCCGTCGTCGGGTGTCGCCTGGGGGTGCACGGCAAGTTAAGGCGGGAATCAGTTCAGACTTCACAATGTCCTCCAGCGCTTGGAACATGGGTTCGGGTACCTTCATGGTACGACAGAGGAACGCCCATCTACCCCTGAGGCCCGTCACATACGCAGAATACGCAGCCTGCGGCTGGGTTTGTGCAAATACTGCTAGCTTCTTCAGTTCCCCCATCCATTCGTCCACCTTTGTTTAGATATAGCTTTGAAGAAAGCTGTCCCTTCCGATTGCTGCGCCAAGATATCGTGATCCCTCGTCCGTTATCATTACACCAGTGTCTCGAAACAATTCAGTCGCCTCCTGGTAACACCTTTCCTTGACGGCAAGGACCGATTTCTTTGGGTTTACGTAATATCCATATGCCGGTCCTCTCTTGTCCATTATGTCCCACCATAGACGGAGTCTGCGAAGACGAGCAGCAGCGGATGAATCGTCCGCGAACCATGACTGCACCGCACCCGCCTCATCCGCCAAACGTATCAAGGGCATTATTCCCAACGCGTACATGTACATTGCAAGGGGATCACCCTGTGTTGTCCCTTCTTGCGACAGGATACTTTCACCGTCCACGTAGAGATGAGCTGGATCACGGTAGGTATTAATTAGAACGGTAGCAAGTGATGGACACAAGTGCCGAACATTTCTTAAGCAAGTCTGTCGATTTAGTCTGTTGAACGCATTACTTGCATCCGCCATCAGAATTCCTTCGGTGTCATCCAGCTCAAAGGCCTGCTGCATCGCATGTATTCCCGCCTCTATACCGCAATCCTGGCCAGCGCATAGCTGTATACACCCAACCGCCTCCTGAACGGCTTGGCCTACGACGGAGAGGATGGCCTTGCTTATAATGCGTCGAGCGACCTCGCCTATTCCAATCGGCCGGACACCGGGTTGCTTGTCCAACGCTATCAATCTGCACGCAGTGAAAGCCGACAAAGATGCTGGGTGCACGTACGTGGAGGCTAAACGCCTTGCACACGATGCTAGTGCATCGCAAAGGCCCTGGGAGGCGTCAGAGAAACTAGCGCAAAAATGCCTCCAGTTCTCGGCGTCAACACCACTCGGCCCCGCAGCACCCTGCGTACCGAGCGCTGCACTCTTAATCGACTGACGTCCAAGGCTGCTGAAATAGATCGGATGAGGTGGAGCAGGTGGATCACCACCAATAACGGCGTTCTCGCTCATCGGCTCTGCGGGTGGATGTTTGTCTTTCAGGATATCCCGGACAGTGCGTCCGTCAATCTCGTCGTCCAACTGATGCACACCTCCATCATCACCGCTTGTCAAGCCACGGAGCGCCTTGCCCACTTTGCCCGCGGTGACATAATCTGCAAAACGCCTAGCAGGGTCAACCGACGGACCCACTGAATCACGTTTATGTTTGTTCTTGGACGATAGAAGAGAGGTCTGTATGGTGTCCGCTTCCCGTTGCAGCTCTGCAAAATCTCCCTTCGACCACTGGTCCATGCGGCGCTCAAGTATTTTACCATATTTATTATTGTCACAGTCCGGCTTCTGCAGCATTAGCATCTGGTAGACGGCTGCAATCTTGAGTGCGATCATTTCATACGATCCCCCATCTCCGAAGCAGGAATAGAACGATGTCAAGGTAGTGATAAATCGTCTTCCAATATTTCCAGACGGCACAGAGAAAGCATTCAGGCGAAAGTGAACACATTTGTTATATGCAGCCTCTATGGCTCCAGCTGTCTCCGCTGCAGACAAATCACCAAGCCTGAACGACGGATCGGAGCTAGCTATGGGTTCCGGCTGGGGCAGATCCAAGCCGGTCCGGACATCAGCTGAGCCCTGCACACGCAAGGTCGACATAGCGGTATTCACTTCAACAGCATCCCCGGACGTGTGCCCCCTGGTCTCCCGGGAAGCAGAGTGTAAGTCACTTGTGGCTGGTACCGAATTACCACGCACAGGTCCCCCAGGCAAGGACCCGGTGTCATACACGCCCGGCGAGCATACTGGAGCAAAAGTGTCGACAGCGGAATACGGATCAACCGCTTCCTGTCCATCAGGTAAGTTGGTATCAGCTCCGGTTTTAAAGGGTTCAATTTGTTTGTCATTTCTAGTATTGTCCATTTCACCATTGTCAGCTACCGGTAAAGACCGTGCATCGAGGCTCCTATCCAGCTGGCCAGCAGAAGAGAGAATGAGATCGCCCGACACTGGTTCATGTCCAGGTAGAACCGGCACTGGGCAAGCAGGAATACCCCGCCGCTGTGCCAAGCTGGAGTCAGCACCTCCCAAGGAACCATGAACCACTGTGGTACAGTCGCTTGGTGCATTGGAGTGCGCCGCCATCGGCACAAGACCTCTATCATCAGCTCGAGGTGGATGCGGATTGCGACATTTCCCATCCATCATTGGCCTGCAGTTTGTACAGGGCTGCTTGAGGCCGCAGCATCTACAGTCTCTGCACAGGTCACCGTTTGCAGCGCAGCGACAGCACCCCACCTGTCCGCTGTGGCCCTTCGCTCGCTCCCGCTGGCGTACACGGCTGCGCAGCGCGTCTACTTCACGTCTTGACGCTTCCTGCGCCCATACAGATTGGATATCGACATCGTCTTCCATCACGCGTGTACGGTCTGGACACCGCCGTGGCACCTGTGACCATTACACGGTACGGGCTGAATCCGAATGCAGAGTCACAACTCCATGGTGCTTCGAGAGGGAAAGTGATTCCGTAAAAAGAAATATCGAGGAAAACAACGAGATTCCAAGACCTCCAGCAAGTCCTTCATGCTATGGGAGAGTAAACTCCCCGAACAACTCCGTTCGTAGGCGCAGTATGCCCTAGTGCACTGGAAAAGTCGAAAACTCGAAGAAATTCCTCCAAGAAATTCCTCCAATATCAGAGCCCAGAAACGGAGGGGGGCACTCCAGGCAACCTTTGGTGGACAGTCTAGTCTACAACTTAACTTCGCCCCAACAAGCCTTTATGAACCATAGTAATAGTGACTTTCGACTGCATTTTTCGTTGAATTGCATGAAAACACGAAAATCGGAAAATGAGTAGGGGGTGGTACTTTTTCAGAGGGGGAGGGCGCAAACAGAGTAGGGGGGGGGGGCTGCGCCCCCCCCCCCTCCTTTGGCTAGAACCCTGTGTGACCATGCACTAAATGCATAACACAGTCATACTAGTAGTGCTGCCAAGTGATATACGTCAAAGAGGCCTTCTATCAATGATCATTCTGTAGATGGGCAGTTGGAGCCTCAAGGAGGCAGAAACAGCAAGTCTCACGCCAGCAATCCCATGCACCATTAATAAATTATCTTGTCGATGCACTGGCGAAGGAAAAAACTCTGACACACGGCGACATCGCTGTGCGTGTCCTGGACCCCTGTGGATGGCCAACATTTAGAAAAGCGATGTCCGCTTTTCTATTGGTGCGTACCTGTAGTCATCGTGGAGGTTTCTCAATGAACCAGTGCTGCAGTGCCAACCCGGACCTTCTCTGGAATCGCGTGGCTGCACTGGCGGGCCCCGAGAACCAGCCCACCACATACTGCATGTACCACATGCACAGTCGGGCTTTCGAAACCTGTCCTGTTGCTTCAACAAAGTTCAAGGCTAGGCATACTTTCAGGCATGCTAGGGAAATACCCGCTAGAAACGAACGAAATCGAAACTACATACCTGTCATTTGCATAGCTCGCATGCTGTCATGCTTGATGTCCAATGACAATGCTGCACATCAATATCATAGGCACTGGCACGTGAAAGCCGAACAAGGCACAAACCTGTCGTGTGTCCCATACCAATACTGTATCAAGGCTCAAGCGTCAAGGTATTCCGCTGTTTCGCCTGCCCTCGCCCCTCGGCCATGGTCTACCATAAATTATAATGACCGTACGAGTATGGACTGAATCTCGGGACGGCTAGCTGTGTCGACCTATTAAGTCCCTGTTAGGTCTCCTCAGCGCCAGCGGAGCTCAGGATCGAGTCAGGGTGACTTGCCAAACCGATCAGGAGTCAGAGGGTGACTTGCCAAACCGATCTGGAGTCAGGGTGACTTGCCAAACCGATCACAATGAAGTCAAGTGAGCAAGAACGCATAGACAGAGTGCATACGACTGTCTGTAATCTGTATGGACTGTTGTAGTGATCTGGTGATGGACGTGGAACCCTTGCCCTTGTCCTTTGCCGCTTTGGCCTTGGCTTGGGCCTCGGGGCGTTGGATGTGGTGTTTGTCACTTCCGTGTTAGCTAGCTCGACATGGTGGTGACGCAGGTTTACCTGGTTACCATCGATACCAAGCTGGTGTTGACGTCAATGCCCCGCAGCGATGCATGATACTTGATAGCTATGGCCATGCGCATGCGTACATGTACTGAGCCTAGTCCGCAATCGTCCTAGATCCTGGACCTGGATGGCACCATGATGACCATGAGGCATGATGCCTGATTGATGGCTTGTATACAGTGTGTCGACGTGTCCGACTGGTGTCGCCGGAGCACGCGTCGACGAGGTTTCGAAAGCGCGAACATCGTCGAGTCCTTTCTGAGCATTCTTTCCAGGAGTTCATGCTCATGCTCATGCGACTAAGAAAAACCCGCTATTAAAGTGATCTAGCTCAGTTCGATAGCGGATCCTGCTTGATTTCAACTCTCGTTGCAGCAAAGTGATCAGTATCGTTCCGTCGGTTCGGTTGAGGACAAACTGGTGAGGTCAGAGTTGCCGCCAACAACGCTGTGTGCTAGAACCCTCGAAGGCCTCTCCTTGTGCCGGTACCACTTGTAGTAGTAACAGGAACTGTTGTTTTTATCGGACCAGACAAGCATCCAGGCTGAGGCGTGACACGTGTTGTTCGCGGCGGAGCAGCCCGTCACGGTTATCGATGTCCACGCGTTCCTGACGCGAATAAACCAGTACCGGTAGTTGTCCACTTGCCTATGACTGCGGTCCAGTACTGCTGGAAGTGAGCATACAGGTAATCATTGAATGCCCCAGCATCGACGGCAGAGAACGAGCAGCGGAATTCACAGCGTGCCCCGACCTTATCCAGGACAGTGGGAGTCGCCTGTCGTGAACTGGAAAGGTGAGTCAATCAGTCATATGCTAGTAAGACTTAGTAGCATAATGTGAAACCACGAATTCTACATTTTTAGAATCCGTGGTTTCACAGGTACGGTGCTGGTGTAAGTGAGTAGGTCGTCAACAGGCAGTAATGGTAATCATGGTAATAACTGTCACAAGACTTACAAGAGTACATACACCAAGGGTGGCCAACTGTTGCAAAGCTGGCAATCCGGTCGTTTTAGAGAGAGGTACGGGATTCTGAATTTCGAAACACTTCCCACCTATCGCCTGCGGTCGAGACGGTCAGCAAAGCGATTGATTTTCGAAACATGTGTACCAGTAAGTCCATTTGCAGTGAAAAGCAGGACCTCTAAAACTCACCTGCCTGGAATGATGTTCCTGGTCCTCGCAGGGCCATGCATATTCGCCTCGTAGTCTCACTCTGACAATGTGTTCGAATCCAATCACAGAAAGAAAGCGAATAAGAGCTCGCTCCTATGTGGACCCTGTTCCAATATGCTCCCCCCCCCCCCTCTATTTGTACCTTGGACCCACTGGCTGTACCTCTCTAACTAAGATACCTGTCGGCCCATTGCAGAGTTGGCTGCCTCCACCATTCAGCCTGTGCTGAGCCTCCACCATTCAACCTGCTCTGAGAAGCTACACTGTACAAAGCATCATGTTTGACCTGGATACCCTACAATGTAGTGCAGAACTGCCATGATGATTACAGTCATGTAGAGTTTGTGATACGCAGAACTTGAGCAGAAGCATAGATACAGGAGCAGGAAATTGAAGGCTGGATGCCAATTTACTGCAGCCATCACTGCTCTGCGTGTGCAGATGGGCAGAAGACAAACCAAATTGAATTGCTGCCCGTGTTTTTTTACTTTTTAGGCTTTGCTGAGTAGAGTTGGGACAGCATATCCACTTTTCAGGACCAGAGTACTTGGGGGCAAAAAATCATGATCCAAAGATCTACAGTACAGTACATGGCTGCATACACATGGCCGTGCGGCATGGACTGCAGGGTCACTAGTGCAAGGCTCCTGATCCCCTGGAAAACTCTGTTCACCGCCTCTATTTTCTTGGTGCGGTTTACCAAGGTTTAGCGAAGCCCATCTATTATGCACAACACCCACCCGTACAGTCCTGGGGAGAGAAATCCAAACCCTCACGAGTATAATAGCACTGTAGGCTATGTGACCCTAGCACCGCACACACAGCACCCAGCACACTTGAGCGTGGCACGCTGCTTTGTTCATCAGGTTGGATTTCTCTGGCCAGAAGTGTAGCTTACTTATAGAGGATACTATATGTAGGACTCAGTATAGAGTCCATGCACTATATGATGTCCAGCACCCTATATAGAGTCCATTGGTCCAAAATCCACTATACAGAGTCCAGGAGTCCACTCAGTTTTGATCAGCTTCACCCTGCCGCGCAATCCCCTATAAGGAGTACACTTTTTCTACAAGTCCCCTATTCACAGTCCAGAACGGCAGAAGTCCAGTTTATCCAGTCACGCCGTCCTGTGTGTTGTGCCCGAAAGAGAACACATTTTCAGTTTTGCTTGCCTCGTGGCAGCGCACTTCCAGTTCCTTTCTTCCGTGACTTCAGCCATGGCTGCCAATTCTGCTGTGCAGTTGCTAACAGTAATCTGTCTCGAGCTAACCAAGGAGGATAAGGAGACGTTCAAAATCAAATCTGGAAAGCGTCTTGTGGTTCTCTGAAGACGTTTCATCAGTGCGCGGGATGAAAGCAGAAATTGCAGAACGAGAAAAGTTCAGCACAGTTCAAATCTGACGAGTCAGGTACACTGACGCTCTCTTTCGTTCGACGCCACAAGGATCCCCTGTTTGGCTGGCCATTGCTGCTAGTAAGACGTTTGAACAGTTTCATCAGAGCGAGGGATGAAAGCAGAAAGCGGAGAACGAGAAAAGTTCAGCACAGTTGCAATCTGACGAGCCAGATACACTGACACTCTCTTTCGTTCGACGCCACAAGGATACCCCTGTTTGACTGGACAAGAGCTGCGTACCACCGTGTCAAAAGGCTGTCCAACTACATGGCAGGACCATGACTGAGGTAAGGAAGCTTTTACTCGTTTCGATTGGTCTGCTGTTCTGTCGTTATGCTTGAATTTTTTTCCATTTTCAAGGAGCGTATCGCGTTTGTTTGATGTTGCTTGAATGAATGCCCTAAAAGTAATCAACCACTTCGTAATAGTCCTCAAGGACTGCAAGGACTTTGCATCAATCGTATATGATCGTCTAGCTATCATCAATTATTTTTATTTCATGAGAAATGTATTCAAGTTTATCCCTGTGATAATTATGTGAACTCCACGACACTCTTCCTGTAGTATGATGTCAAATACAATGGGATCCACAAACGCAGTGCCAGTGTACTAGTAGTAGTAGGACTAGGAGGATTGCTTGTATGCCAATGACAAGAAAAAGCTTCTCAAGCTAATACTCGTATCCCCTGAAGTAACCGTTTTGATGTCACGAACATGACATTGTGTCAGTGAAACTGCCTCGTGACAACAAATCATTGCATTTCCATCTTGGGGAAGACTGACTGACAGCAACGCTGTACAGATTGTTCAAATCATCTCATTTCAATTTAGTTGCAGTGAAGTGAAACACTGTGTACACTACATGTATGTTGGTGTGTCTGTGCGTCTTGAGTGTGCACAAACGATCTTATTCCTCATATTACTAATAGATTATTGTCCCCACCATCACCTGTTCACAGGTCTTTGAGTGGATTGATTTTCATTGAGCATCACATTCGTTGAGAACTTGGTAGTTGTGTGCTCCCATGCATCATTACGGTAATAAGAGTATCATTGTGCTATCTATTTGTTGCAGGTGTGCTGATCTTCAGAAGCTTGCGGAACTGAGTGCTGCTGAACATTTGCATGGCCATGAGCAATGGTGAAGCTTGCTATTGCACTCTCAGCATGTGCTAGTATTATGCTGACCACTGCACTATGTTACTCTCTTACACTACTACGTGTATGTAAACGTGCGTGTACCCGTCCCCGTACGCATTCGTTTCGTATAATTATTTGTTGTCCCTCTTGACTTTACATGTAAATGGGTGGACGTTTGCATGGCTGTTGGAGTTGCGTGTGTATTGTGTCTCTACTCTTTTCTTGGTGTTTTCTTGGCGTTGTATAAGTTTGTGTGTGTGTGTGTGTGTGTGTGTGTGTGTGTGTGTGTGTGTGTGTGTGTGTGCGCGCGCGCGCACAATAATTTGAAAACAAATAATTAATCCTGGGCTCTCCATTATTCTCTTTCGATTCTTGGTTTGGTTTTTTTCTAGTTATTTTCTTGGCGTTGTGTGGGTGTGTGCATGTGTGTGTGCGTGTGCGTGCACAATAATTTGGCAACACTACATGATTGAGATGTTGTAATTTGCAGCGTCTGCGAAGAGACCACTTGATTTGAGGATGGTGTTTGTAGGGTTTTTCATGTAATGAAGTGGCTACAGTGGCGCCTCAATACATATTTTTTATCTTGAGAAGTGAATGATGTAAAGGATTAAAGGGAGAGGCCGTTTTCTGGTTAATATTCACTGCTTACAGCAGATCCTATGTCTATTTTCGAACTCGATAGGGGATGCCTAATTGGCTGGACTTTATACAGGGGGTGTTGTCCACATAAAGACTCTTTATAGTTGATTTCAAAGTTTGGACTCCGTACAGTTGATTTTGGACCAATGGACTCTATATAGGGGTGAAGCCAATTGGCTGGACTCTATACAGGGAGTGATGTCCACCGAAACTTTGAGCTCACAGTTGATTCCAAGTTTGGACTCTGTACAGTGGATTTTGGACCAATGGACTCTATATAGGGGTTGGACATCATATAGGGGCTGGACGCTCTACTGAGTCCAACATATATTTTCCGGAGTAAAAGCCGCACACCAGTAATGCACCCAAAGACCGTCAGCACTATGATGATCGAATTAACGGAGATAAAGTAATAGGGTTGATGTCTGTATTTCGTGACAAAGAATCTGGTTGCGGCTTATACTCCAGTGCGGTTTACACTCTGGAAAATATGGTAAGCAATTGCGTCCTCAGCCGAGATGTTTTTTGCAAAGCAGCGACACAGCGCTGTTCAGCTCAAGTGAAACAGCCAACTCACGCTGTATACTGAGCTCCCATAAGTGAATTCGCCGACTCCCAATGTTCACTTAGCGCCCATGAGCATTGACCTTCCTCCTCCTCCCTAAACCCCTTATTTAACTCCATTCTAACATTCGCTTCCATGTACGTAGCTCGTGTGTATGACGAAATAAGAAATAAAATATACAAACAAATTCTAGCAAATCTGATAGTTCACCACTATGACCTGACTTGCAAAAAAATATTTAGTTTCAGCAACTACATTTGGTACATCAGATAGATTTACTTTAGCTGTCACTGTATGCGTCTGTTATATGAATGCTTCCAGGCGGTGCAAATGCGTTTCTAGACGCGAAGGCGCACTTCAGCATCTAGTGGCGTGTATGAATCATCTTTGGTTTTCAGTACCTCATCAAGGCCAAGCACCACAGCATTCAACGGGACATCAGCAAACACTTTCAATTACGAGCATATCAACAAACTGACTTGGCACTAAGGCGGGATTGACAGTGATCACCACAGCAGCAGCAGCAGCAGCAGCAGCAGCAACAACAATTGTTTGATTTGTCTCCAACACTCTTTCACACCTATGGTAAGACGGGAATGGCATGTGGAATATTGTTGGCTATTGCCTTGCTACTGAAATTGACCCGGTTAGTAGTAATCAGAGTGTTAGGCAATGCACTCGCGCTTGCATCTCTCGCCCAGCATGCAGTGTACTTCAAAAGAAATACATAAGCTACTGTAAGACCAGTAATGTTAACGAATATTTAACGATTTAGCGAATTTAAACAATTCGTTAACATTTGAAGTTGTTATGTGCAAAACGATACGTACATGTACAGCCATTTGCCGGTTTTGAGACAGAATTCGTTAGAATTTCACCTCGCTAACCCGCAAAAATCCGGAGATCGTTAACTTTAATTGACGTTAAAATATCTGGTCTTAGAGTAGCTGAATAGCTGAATAGCCGGTACTAAGTTGAATAAAAGTGTGGCACTTCCGACACAGTACCATTACAAGCAGAGCACACACCACAACCATAATCTGCTAGCTCTTGTTGACTTCTTACTATGATAATCAGTGAGGGCGTAGGAGAAGAAAAGCAAAGATAGCGACTGAGGGGTCGTCGCAAAAGTGTTTTGTTGTCCCAGAAATGAACATGATTTGTTGGGGTGGGGAGTGGGTGGTAGGTGTGAGCCAAAATCGCAAGTCGACCAACACTGTACATAATTATGCACATGTACATGAATGCGATTTTCGTCGTCCAGCAAGCAAGCTGCGTTCGCTTCAGAGGGACAGGAGGGGTCCGAGTACGAAATGAACGATGTACGTTTCTGGGACGACAAAAAAACTTTTGCCGCGACCCCTAAATGACCACAAGACTTGAAAGAACAAAAGAGAACTAGATTCACAAATTAATGATGAACAGTTATACTGGTGCGGACGAACCGCAGCGACTTATCGGGGACAATTACTGTAAAGTACCGTTGATCCGTCCCCTCTCTAATTGCCGCCCCCTGTCGACTTTCTGCCAGTGAAGCAACTTCGGCGTATACAACGAAATACGATGTTGAACCGACGCATGCACTGCTGTACACAATACGTGCCAGTTAAGGATGAAAATGTGCACAATCCAGCACATCGAGTCTGATCTTCTACGTTGTTGTACATCGTACTGCACTTGACAGCCTTGATCTAATTCCCGCCCCCTGCCGAAAACCCAGCTGGAATGCGACATGCATGGGGGCGGATCAACGGTACTTTACGGTACGTAAAAGACACCTGCCCAAGACCAAGACAAAGAGACCCTAGGCGAATCACCCATCATTCTCGCTCCCAGACCAAACTAGCACTACACATGCATGACACTCACTTGACAATCACTCACACACAGGTGGAAGCAGGTTATTGCACTCTGACAACGAGTGCTCTTGCACGCACCAGGTGGAATAACAGAGTTCTAGCCAGGAGAAATTTGCAGGGGGGGGGGGGGTAGGGGTAACAAAAAGTTCACCCATTTTTCCATGTTGCACTATTTCTTGTTATGATTAGTCACCACCACTACACAAAGGTCGTTGACGTTGCAAATTTTATTCAAATGAAATCTCCAAATTTTCGCCCTTCCGGCTTCATCAGGGAGTAAAATAATAATGAAATGAAACTGGCTCTGTAGCAAACTATAATAGCGGAGCATTGAGACATTGAGACATTGGCTCTACAGAAGTGAGGAGAGGAGAGCACGAGGCGTCATACATTAGCACTATAATAAATGAATGGCGAGGACAACAAGAGGTGGTGCACACTGGTTACATGGTGATAATCACACAAAGTGAGAGAGAAGCTTGAGAAGCGTGAGAGAAGTGTTAAGGGGGCGCAAGAGAACGCAAGCCAGAGCGCAACATAAGAGTGAAACGTGTAGCGTGGAACGTGGAAGTGAAACAACCGCACACGCACAAACTCAAACACAAACGCACACACACACACACCAACACTCTCACACACACCAACACTCTCACACACACCAACACACACCAACACACACACACACGCACACACACACACACACACACACACACGCACGCACACACACACACACACACACACACACACACACAGAACTGTCGTATTCCGTTAAAGACCATCTCTCGTCCTCATTGATTTCGGGCCTTCTGTCCCTGATTTCAATCGCCTCCATTATCTTTCAGCTTTGGAGTGATGTCTCACGACCCACGATCTGGGCGTTGTTGAAAGGCTCGAACCCCGTCGTCGCCGTCGCCTCCACCACATCGCCGTGTTGCGTCCTGTAGTGGAATCCCCACGGGGGTTTTGCCACTCTGGCTCGTGCCTCCCGGTAGTGCTCACCAAATCTGACATGTACAGGACGCTCCGTTTCACCCACATACTCCTTCCCACAAACAGTGCAAAACATAGAGTACACCACACCTTTCACCACACAAAGACTATCAGGCATACCCGCATCGCACACTCTGCATTCTCTCGGCCGCCCACGTCCTCTGTCCCTCCTCTGCTGCTCACGTAAGCAGCATGGACGCTCAGACGGCGCAGCAACCAGAATATCACGTAACGATCCCCTGGACGTAAACACAACTCGCACACCAGGACTAAATCGACGGACTCTGCGCTTAACTTCCTTCGCAAAGGCGATCATTGATGAATGGTAGCTTAAGCACTGCTGGCAAAGGAGCCTCCCCGCCTGCCTGCCGCTGCCCCTGGGTCGGCTTGTGGACTTTGTTGACTTGTTTTATTGCCACAGTTTTCGCTCGCCGGATTTCATTCTCGGAGTAGCCATTGCTGCGGAGGAGTCTGGCGATCTTGTCAACTCCATGAGACTCGCTCGCGGATGTGGAGGCGTTTGAAATTGCTCTGCACATTTGACTCGCTGCGACAGATCGCTTGACCTGCATGGGGAGCAACGACTGGAATGACAACTGCACACCGCTCTGTGTGGGCTTCATATAGAGCTCCCAATCCAACCGGCCTCCCTGGGCAGTGATGGTTAAGTTAAGTCGAGGAAGTTAACAACGGGCTCCTCGCCATTCCGGGAACTCTCCAAAGTGAACTTTATACTGGGATGCCTGCTGTTAAAGAAGTCGACGAAACGGAGAAGCTGCTCTAATCCAAAGAGCCAGAGGAGGATAACATCGTCGATGTATCGCCTGTACATGAGAGGTTTAAGATGGTACTCCGCTAGTGCCCTCTCCTTCAAGTGAGGCATGAATAATATAGCAAGCGGCGGAGCAAGGTGATTGCCCATGGCAATGCCCCTGACTTGTCGATATTGCTTCCCCTCGAACTCGAAGTAATTAGACGTAAGAGCGTATTCCAGCATTTTCCGAACATCGGATGGCCGAGTCAAGCCAGAACATGTCAATTTCGTCTCTATGACTTTCGAGAGCCTCCATCGCAACGTCGATACTTTCTTGGATTGGAATATTGCTATATAGTGCGACCACATCCATCGACGCTGATACGTTACTATTTATTCGTGAAGACTTGGGAACGGAAACAAAACATGTCATGAGAAAGAACAACAGGAAAAAGAAGCACACTCAACTAATCCGTGTGTGTGCGTGCATGCAGTACAACTATGACGTAATGAATATAGATACACATCACGCCCCTTCGAGATGTTGCGAAACCTGTGACAGCAACATCTATCATAAATAAAACAAAATGAAGAATGAAAACAACAAAGCAGAGACAGCAGAAATTGACATTAGTGATCAAGAGTGTCAATCATAGGACTGTCCATGATGCGAACCAATGTTTAAACGCTGGGGTGGCTTGCGCTGACGTGCGCTGCGGCGGGACGGCGGCGGCGGGGAAGAGGCGTCAGCAGCAGCCGGTTGGACAACAAGCGGTGCAGGCACAAGTGGGCGATACGGACGCAGGAATCTGCGGTTCCGCCAATAAATGCGACCACTCGGCAACTTCACTAGGTAGTCCCGATGATTACCGACAGCAACAATGACCCCACGAATAGACCACTGCTTGGTGCGCGGATGCTGAACATCCACGTGGGTGCCGAGGCGGAGCTGCGGCAACGAGCGACGAGTTGACGACTTGTCTGTGACAGAATCGTCGGATGGCATGGCAGTCTCATCACGTGTCGTCGCTTTGGAGAGCCAGGATGAATCAAACTCCTTCCAATGTGCAATGACGAATGACTGGAGAGAGCGGCCATATAGGAGCTCAGCGGGGCTCTGACCAGAGGAGCCAGGTGTGTTTCGCCATTCCAGTAGCCCTCGGCGGAAGTCATCTGTGTCAAGATTGCCATTCACGGTTGTCTTGGTGATAAGACGCTTCATGGCTTTGACAGCAGCTTCGGCGTGCCCATTACTCTGCGGGTAGTGGGGAGAGGACATGACATGGTTTACCTGCCAGCGCTTACAAAACTCAGCAAACTTATGCGAGGAGAACTGGGGACCACCATCTGTACACAGCACAGCAGGAACACCAACATCAGAGAACCAGCGACGGAATGCTAGTATCACGTCATGCGATGAGGTGGTGCGGCCAGTACGCGCGACACAGGGCCAACCGGTCAAACGATCTGCATACACAAGGAAGTCGTGACCTTGACAAGTGAACAAATCGGCAGATGCACATTCAAACGGTAGTGTCGGGGTGCGGTCGTTCAGCAGGGGCTCAGCTGGCTGGGACGACTGGTGTTCGCGGCAAGCAGGACAAGAACGAACGAGTGTATCAATGTCCTTGGTGATACCGGACCAGTATACAAGCTGACGCGCACGAGACTTAGTACGCACTAGGCATTGGTGTGAAGCGTGGAGGTTGTGCAATACCTGAGCACGCAATGATTCAGGAACAACAATGCGGTTGCCCTTCAACACAATGCCATGGTCGACGGAGAGATGCTCACGTCCATTCCAGTACGCACGTAACGGAGCAGGCAACTTCTGCTGGTGATCAGGGAATCCAGTCAAGATACACTCAATCAATGACTGGTACGTGGCATCTGCAGCTGCAGCTTCCCGCAGCTCTGCAACCTTGAGATTCGCATTCGGCTCAGTGTCCGAGTGCACCATGCAGATCTGAATGCTGCGGCAA